TCATTTTGGATTTATTGTAGAGATGAGGTCTCACCAAGTTGCCCAGGTGGGTCTCGAACCCGCGGGCTCAGGCAATCCACTAACCTCAGCCTCCCAAAGGTGCGGGATTACAGGCTGAGCTACCGAGCCCGGCTTATGAATTCACTTTTAAACACAAAGATCAACTAAGCAAAAATTTGTAAATATAATACTCAAATTTCAAAGATCTACAATCAAGTCAAGAAACTTTATTTCTTGACCTAATCGATGTATACTTTGGAAATGGTTTATCCCTGAAAAAAAGCCAAGAAAGCTTTAATCTAATAAATAAACTTAACTGTGATGAGAGTCTGAAATAATAATTTGTTAAAAGAATGGCGAGGGACACATGGACTCTAGAAAAAGTGCCCCCAAACAGCCAAAACATTATTTATTTATCTAAATGTGTTCCAAAGACAGGGTATTATAGTTTTTGGTGGATACCAATTTTCTGTATAAATTCATCTTTTAATGGAGAACAATTCATCCAGATTTCCTAGTTCAATTAATTTTATTTTATTATCAAATATTTACTGACTTAGAGTCAAGAACTGGGTACTAGGCCATTTAATATCCATTCTATATTCTTTTTTTTTTTTTTGAGTTGGAGTCTCACTCTGTCACCCAGACTGGAGTGCAGTGGACGCTCCCAGCCACTGCAGGCTCGACCCGCTGGGCTCCGGCGATCCTTCTGCCTCAGCCTTCCAAGTAGCTGGAACTATAGGCACGCGCTACCACGCCCGGCTAATTTTTGATTTATTGTAGAGATGAGGTCTTGCCAAGTTGCCCAAGTGGGTCTCAAACCTGCAGGCTCAGGCAATCCACTCACCTCAGTATCCCAAAGTGCTGGAATTACAGGTTGAGCCACTGAGCCCGGCCTCCATTCTATATGCTAATTCCACAATTAGCAAGCAACTTATATGATTTGGTCAGTCAGATGTGAGTTCAAACTTTGGCTCCTCTATGTATTAGTCATATACAGTCTTGAGCAAATTATCTTTCAGAGACTTAGTTTCCTCACCTGCTTAATGGGGATGATAGTATCTGTGATAGGATTTTTACAAGAATTAAATGAGAAAGGGGGCACAGACTGAACACCAGTACCTAGTACATAACAGTTTCCTGCTAAATAGTAATCTTTCAGAACTTTTCACTTGTCTCTTATGATGGCCTAATAAATGAATATCAGTGCTTTTAAATTAGAATGTGTGAGCAAATTATCAGAACTTTACTATTCATGAGTTGATAAAACTTCTGGACCCACAAAGCAATATAAGGTTAGTTCCTGATGTAGCATTTCGAGGGACTCTGTTTAGGACAGGTGCTAGGTGGGCAGCCAACTTCTTTTTGACAATATCAGCAAGGATTTAACTAAGACCTTAATAAAACTAGAATGAATAGGTTTAATTAATGGAGGGAACAATGTAAATAAGAACTCAAAAGCAGTATTTATCATAAAGAACTCTATCTGTACATAACCTATCTGTGGGTAATACAAACTTGAACTTTTCATAAAATCACCAACTTTCTTTCATTCTTCGGAAATCATGAAAATAACGAACACATTTATACCTGAAGAAATGTTGAGAAGGGTCTTTAAACAAACAATCCCCATGACACTACTGCTTTTTGTATTATTGAAAATAACCTATTGTGAGAGTTAGGAAGGAATGTAGGGCTTCAAAAATTTGACTTTCATTTAAAAGTTCTTGGAGATTCCCTTCTTCCTCTCTGTTCTCTCCATACTCACCCTAGCAAACTGCTGGTAGTCATAGAGATGCTATTATTACAGCAAAACCATTATTTCAAGTTTTAAACTTTTTTTTTTCATTTTATAAACCATTCCATCAATTAGGAGGCTGTGACTAAGAAAAACTAACACAAAGAAAAAAAAAATCCAAAACTAAAATCACTAACGACTGGTAGCTTATTTGTCTTATTTATATTCTCTAAGTTAGCAATGACAAGCTCTAAACTGCTAACAAGAATTCTTCAGACCCTGAGTTTTACAACTTATTTATTTATTCAATTGATTGATTGATTCAAGGTCTTGCTCTGTTGTCCGGGCTGGAGTGCAGTGTCCTGATCACGGCTACCGCAGACTCAACCTCCTTCTACCTCAGCCTTCCAAGTATCTGGAACTATCGGCACACACCACTACATCAGGCTAACTTTTTGATTTATTGTAGAAATGAGGTTCTGCCAAGTTGCCCAGGCTGGTCTCGAAGCCCTGGGGTTCAGGCAATCCTTTTGCCTCTCAAAGTTCTGGGATTACAGGTGTGAGCCACACCCAGCGATTTTTGCAACTCTTTAAGCAGTTCCTCATCACTCTCTTGGGATACCTGCCCCTGAGCCGGGAAATCAGAGCTATCAGGAAATATTTTTCAAAGTGTGGGCTGAAGAGCTCTGGTCATACGCAAGCCAGGTGGTGCATGGGGGTGGTCTCTGGTTGTAGTAACGCACATAATATGAAACTGCCTAACGTTTTGGTGCCTGGTGTGAGTTAATAAATATCCAGCCCTCACAGTGATTCTGATGATTCCTCTTTTTTTAAAGTAAAAGCTGGGAAGTACGGGTGGTCTGTGAGGTGTTTTGCTCAAAATATATGATCTGCAAAAGGTTGAACTCTGCATGTACTTGTATGAGTTTCTATCTTAAAAGTCATTTTTATTTGAAGTATATTAATTTTAGAGCTCTTAAGCCCTACAATAAGCAAAGAACCACAGTTTCTGGGTAGGCAGAATAACTTTACACTCACTCTCTGTCCAACAGGACCTTTAGGGCCTGATATTCCAACAATGCCAGCATTCCCCTCAGGACCCTAGACATTCAATAAAAAGCAAGAAGATAAAAATTTTAGCTTTATATGAACATGCTACAAGTAAAATAATCTCATACCAATCTATCAAGAATTGGCTCTCTAAAAAAATGGGATGTAACAGTGGATTTGCATGCTGAAGGATTTAGGAGAGAGTGTACTTTGGGGTGCTATTTACTTAGAAATACACCAAAAGGGAGGAAGAGAGGGATAGATAGCTAGATAGCCACATGATAACGCAAACAGGCTAAAGTATTAACGGTGAAATCCAGGTAGTGGGTATAGGTGCTCACTGTGAAATTCTCTCAGCTTTGCCATGTTTGAAAATTTTCTTTTCTTTTTTATTTTTTTGAGTCAGAGCCTCACTCTGTCGCCCAGGCGGGAGTACAGTGGCTCGCTCATGGCCACCCCAGTATCGACCTGGTGGGCTCAGGCGATCCTTCTGCCTCAGCCTTCCAAGTAGCTGGAACTACAGGCACGTGCTACCACACCTGGCTAATTTTTGATATATTGTAGAGACGAGGTCTCACCAAGTTGCCCAGGCTGGTCTTGAACCCCTGGGCTCAGGTAATCTTCTCGGCTCAGTCTCCCAAAGTGCTGGGATTACAGTTTTGAGCCACCACACTCGGCCCTATAATTTTAAAGTTTTATTTTATTTTTAAGATGTGGGGTACAATTCTGGATTAGGTAGGTATACAAGTGGTCATAGTACAGGTAAAGTTTGGACCTCCCTTTGGTCCCCGCTTTGCCTGAGTTTGAGATCTTCATAAAAAATTTCTTGGGAAAAAATTATGAGCGGGAACAAAACCAATCCTATGATAAAATTGCTAGGAAAAACATATAGTTATAAATAAAATTAACATATTCAAAACTCAAATATATAACATTGTACCAACTGAAATTTTGCAGATCAAATAATAAAAGCTCAAGACAGAGACTATCAATATTTCAATATCTTTTTTCTCGATAGCTAGAAGACTAGCAGAAAATATGTAAACATACTTTGGGGCCTGGGAATCCTTGGAAACCTGTCAAGCCTTGAACACCATGTTCTCCCTGCAATGTGAAGAGACATGATAATCACTATTGTAGAACGGTGGTCTGGTCTGCAGAATGAGCGCTTGGTGACTCTCTGAGGTGGTACATACAGGCTGTCCCTTCAGGCCAGGCTCTCCACATGGTCCTTGATCACCTTGTGCTCCTCTGTGACCTCTATTACCTTGTGTTCCAGGTTGGCCAGGTAGCCCTTGTTCACCCTATGGACAGAACAAGATAGGTGATCTTAACTTCAGAATGTATAAATAGATGGGCTTTTAAATAAAACCCAAATAAGACCTATCCTTAGGCATGGTACAGGGCCCTGGAGCAACCACATTCTTCATGATCCACACAAGTGATATTTAATGATAATGAACACGAAGTGTAGCAGTGAGAAAAAAATTTCCAGAGACTGTGATGATAAGTGTGGAAATAAGAGGGAAGGGGGAAAACTTATAAACCTGGGAGAGGGATTTTAGAGCTTCAGGGAGGGTGATGAGGTGTGGCATGTGGAGAGTGCATTCATATGTGATACAATCTGTACTATGAGTTGATATTAATTTTCAGTTTTTCCTACCATCTGGAGATGATTCAGCTATCTGATACCAGAAACAGAGTAGTCTCCTGAAGTGTGAATCCTGGTTTTAGTCATGATTATATTTTCAATTCTATCATTAAAAATGCCATCATCTGTTTCCCTAACTTCCTGTTATATAAACAGTCTTTATTCCTTAAAAGTTTACTTTAAGTATATACTTAATCATCATTGTATTTTTTTTAAGTCAAGACTTTTCACACTTATTTTATTTTTTTGTTTTTGAAATGAGAGTTGGAATATTTTTTTCACATCATTTCTAAAAGTAAACAGGAATCAGGAGGACTTCAGAGACAGGTTAATGAAAAGTGATTTTTGGTAGACCTTGGCCAAAGAGTCTTTAAAATTAGCAAATTATTTTTTACTGTCTTGAGACAAAGCTATAGTTTTATGACTTGACAAATATGGATTGTTTTTAATGCAGATTCACACATGAGGGGTAGGAATCTTTCTTATTTTTCTAGTTTTAGCATGTGTTCAAACGCCTTAAATTTTAGAAGAAAAGGATATTCATAGTATAAAATGAATGTATAATTCATTGTTTATTCTAAAGGCTAAATTTGTAAACAGGAAGCAACTGGGTCATCATCTTCAGTTTACCCATGTGGGTCAGAAATCTAAAAACTCTCTGTAAGTATAATTGTGAAAACCAAGTTAAGAGGTAATAATGATAAAGGTGCCCTAGGCTTTTATGAAAAAGTTTTAGATACTGAACTAATCTCAAGCTGTCTGGGTCAATCCTGCAACGAGATATTTCTAAGAGGAGTTTTTCTGGAAAGTCTATTGTCATGTGACCGTACTCCATGCAATGAATGCTAATGCAAGACAAAGTTACTGTTACTCTGACTCTAAAATATTATCTGTACTGTTACTAATTGGTTGGTTAAGCTCAGAGTTAGAGAAACAGAAAGTATATTTGAGAAAGCATGTATCTGGAAGTAAATAAGAGTCTTCTGTTTTGGAAGAAAAGGTAGATGACAGAGAAGGAAGAAGAACCCAAATGAGTTAAAGATGGCGTTTTAAAATCCCTGCTAGTCCTGGGTTAATGAGTTGTTATGTCAAATTACATGCACTGCAGCCATCATGGGAGATAGACATATCAAGGCCACACTTTCCTCTTCCCTAATGTGTTTTTATTATTAACCAAGTTTTATTAAAAGTTATGAATCTCACCACCCTGTGATCTAGCCCATAAACTCGGGGCCAGTAAGGATGGCCAACACTGCTCATCAATCAGAACAAATATTAAAGTACCTTTGGGCCCAGAACTCCTGGGCTTCCTGGCAGGCCTGATGAGCCCTTTACTCCTCGAGGACCTGGAGGCCCGGCCAGTCCTGTTCTTCCTGGGTTGCCTCTGATGCCCTAAATAACAGAGATAAGAAATGAAAACTGGGGAAGTTCCTAGAAAACCAATCTATTGGTTTGAGACTCAGTAAATGTAGGAAGGATTATATTCTGAAAGGCTGCTGTTGACATACTGCCCAGGCTTGAGAATCCTCCTGGGCTTCTTTCCCAAATAAGTGAAATGTTTAAATAATAACATTTGGGAAAATCCACCACTCACCTGAAATCTCTAATTACAGTTAATGCAATAAACTTGGGTTTTTATAATGAAAACACTGAGGCACTACAAAGTGTGCCAGTACCTTCTTACTTATGTAGCCTCGGTGTAAAGTATGTTTGTTATATTCTTTTTTTGAGTCGGGATCTCACTCTGTTGCCCAGGCTGGAGTGCAGTGGCATGATCAAGACTCACTACAGCCCTGTCCTCCTGGGCTCAGGTAATCCTTCTGCCTCATCCTCGAGTAGTGGGGACTACAGGTACACACCACTATGCCCTGCTAATTTTTTTTTTTTTTTTTGATAGAGATCAGGTTTTACTATGTTGTCCAGGCTTGTTTGTTGTATTCTAACTTTTGTGTTATAGAGTTGTACATGACAACTCTAATGACTGATTAAAGTCCTTTTAAGAGGAGAATTCTATTTCTCAGTCATACATGATTAAAGAAAATTTGCTAACAATAGTTTGAATGGAAGTAAAGTTAATCAAGCAAATAGCATATCCTTAAAACCAAATCGTAAATCAGAGTTGGCAAACTATAGTTTGCAAACCAAATCCAGTCCATTACTTGTTCACGTAGAGCTCATGAGCTAAGAATAGTTTTCACATTTTTAAATAGTAAAAAAAAGCAAAAGAACAATAATTTTTAAAGACGTGATAATTATGTGAAATTAAAATTTCAGCATGTATAAATAAAGTTTTATTGGAACAAGGCCATGCTCGTTCCTTCATGTTCTGACTATGGTTGCTTTTGCACTGTGGTAGCGGAGCTGAGCAGTTATGGCAGAGACCTTACGTGGCACCCTCATTGCTTTTCCTTGCTGTTTAGAGCACAGCAAGTTGCAGGAATGCAGTTTCAATCTGACAGTGTTTCAAGTGCAACATATATTGTCTTACTATAACTATTTATTTTACTACCAGTGTCTTACTATAACTGTTTATTTTACTGCCAACCTATCATATCAAAAGAAGAAAAGTGAATGTTGAATGTTGTGTCTTAAGGCACAACAGAATGTGAACTATTTTGTCACCAAATTAGATGGCAAAGTCTTGTATTTATTATGCAATGACACCGCAGCTATGCCTAAAATATACACAAGATACATCAACATTATTAGACCAAGCACTCAATACAATATTCCTACCTCACAGGATTGCAACACTCAGAAGAATTAGAAAATGCAATATGGAGTATTTTATCATAACAGAAGTTCCTCACAAAAAAATAAAAATGAGGCTGCAACTAAAGTAAGTTTCTGCAAAGAACTATCACATGTTCTCACTCCTAAGTGGACCTTGAACGATTACTGTAATACTGTAAGAAACGGATTGGCAGTAGCGGGAAACTGCCAGTGGAGGTGGTGGTGGGGCACACCTCATCAACAAGGGTGCCTGCAAAATGAACATTTGTATACCTAACACTGAATTGTACCCCATATCTTTTTTAAACTAAAAAAAAAAAAAACCTTAAATTTCTAAGTGTTCATTTAATTTGCTAGCTTAACAAGGAAAGTCCCTTACTGATGATGACTTAATTAAGTTGCATAACAAAAAATAAACTTGTTTAAGATTGTTAGTCTTTTGACAAGAACAATTGCTTGAAATGTTGAGCACACTGGAGCGGCATCAATAGCCAATTAAAAAACAAGGTAAATGTTTTCAGGTGTTTTCCTTGTTTTTTTTTTTTTCTCTCTCCCCACCCACGGCACTCGTTAGTTTTTTTTTTTTTTTTTTTTTTTTTTGAGTTGGAGTCTCATTCTGTCACCCAGACTTGAGTGCAGTGGCCGCTCCCGGCCACCGCAGCCTTGACCTGCTGGGCTCCGGCGATCCTTCCGCCTCAGCCTTCCAAGTAGCCGGAATTACAGGCATGCGCTACCACGCCCGGCTGATTTTTTGATTTATTGTAGAGATGAGGTCTTCCTGCCCAGGTGGGCCTCGAACCCACAGGCTCAGGCAATCCACTCACCTCAGCCTCCCAAAGGCACGGGATTACAGGCTGAGCCACGGAGCCCAGCTGTTAGTTCTTGATGAGTCAACAGAAGTCACCAATACATCTCAGTTGTTCAGACAAGGAGTCAATGCTAAGTTTGAAGAGGTTGCAAGGTCAACTCGTATAAGCAGTCTGGGGGCATGACGACAAGTGAGAATATTTTCAAAGTTAAGAAAATACTAAATCAATGCAACTGGAAATGGAATCTGCTAAGGGGCTATAGATAAGAAAACAGTTATTAGATAAGTTTACAAAGCTTGTAAAAATGTACGGTTTTTCAAGTTATGGATATTCATTATATTATTCACCATCAGCCACTCTGAGGAAAGTATTTGAATCTAGCATGTGTTCTTGAGCCTGTAGTGTCATGGGCTCTTGTGGATTTAACTTTCGTTAATTCAGATTATTTTTTGTCAGAAATAGAAATGGAATACCTTGATTTGTCCTATTACACAGTAGTTTCATGCCTTAGCAGGGGTAAAGTTTATTGAGATTTTTTGAGACTGAGATTGAAGTTTTTCTGAATGACTTCAAACTACTGAGCAATGAATGGCTTTGGAATGGTTTTGCTGCAAATTTTATAATGTTTATTTATTGAATTAAACTTAGAATTACAAGGCACAACAGGGCTTATATGTGAGGCATATACTGTGGGAAAGTAATTTTAAGGACAAATAACATTTGAATCACAAGTAATGTTAACCAACTTTATATACTTCCTGTACTGCTACAAATTAAAACAAAAGTGACATCTCCATTCTTATACAAATTTTCAGTGAGTAGATTTTCTGAGCTGTTTAGTTTCAGCAGCACATTTTAAGCCTAGATGCAAGAAATTTCTATATTTCAAAATCTATTTGACTATGCACTTGAGGTGTTTCCACCTAACCTTCAGTTGGAAAGATTAAGCTACAATGGAAAAACATGCTCAAAGACATGTATAAAGAGAAGAACCTAATAGAATCCTATAAATTCCTTCCAAGCAATGTAAAAATGTTCACGAACTGTTGTATTTGGAAATATCTACGTGTGTGAAAAGATTTTCAAAGATGAAATATATAAAATATGCAAAATCTTATTACAGGTCAACATTAATAGACAAGCAGAAAATTTTGATGATAGAGAATTGTAATAAGCTAAATGTTATCCCCTCCAAAGAATGCCATTTTTATCATCAGTAGACTTGTTTTACAAAAATTTGTACTGAGTTATTATATTTTAGTGTCATAAATGAAAAATTTGTGAAAAATTTTCTGTTTGTTACATAAGTTCCTAAGTAATACCCTTAATTTTGTTTCTTGCCCTGCAAAGCCTAAAGTATTTATTCATATTTACAGAAGTTTGCTGATCTCTCTTCTAGGAGATGATTGTTACTTTGAGTTGATTTCTAAGATACTAAATTGTGTTTTACATTAATTTTTCCATGCATTCAACACATATTTACTGAATATCATCTATATGTGAGGAAGGTACCATGGGAAGCCCTCTAAGGAATATAGATGAATAATATATAGTTCTTATTTTTAAAAAGCTTAAAATTAAATGAAAAAGAATGTAATGTCTGAATAATTATAATGAAGGCAAAAATGTCAAACACCTTTCCAGATGAGAAGAGAGATACAAAGTAAATACTAGAGAGGTTCTGAGGAGGGGAAGTGGTAATCAGAAAAGAAATCAGCGGGAAGGAACTAGATTTTAAAACAAAGATATTGCCCTAAGGTTTAAGTAAGAGAGATGATTTGGTTCGAGATAGACTAAAGTAATTTCTGTGGAAGGCCTGGTTGAGATAATATTTAAAAAGTAAAGCAATTTTGAATCATTTTCCTTTTTCCCCAAATAATATTTTCTGCAAATTATGTCATCACATATTTTATTATTCTCTTACTTATGGTACAAAAAAATATGTTTTTAAAATGACCCTTCTAAATAGATTTTTTTTGATGACCACAAAACTCATTGAAACAATTTTTTTTATATCTACTAGGTACCATACCCAATGCTGGGTGCTTACACAGAGGGTACATATAAGATAGATTCACACTCCTTAGCTTGGCTTTTAAGTCTTTTTTGTTCCAACCCATGTCAACCATTTTATCTCCCATCATTTCTCAATATTAACAGCACTGAATATTTTATAAAGGCAAAATCCTCAAGGAGGGAGAGAAGTGAGATGAGAAAATGAGACACACACACACACACACACACACACACACACACACACACACACACACACGGGTGGGGGAAAGAAGGAGGGTGGGGGGAGGGAGAGGGAGAGAGAAGGAAAATAAATCCTTATTGTGAATTTAGGATTAAAATGTTGTGGTTCTTCCAAGCTGTCTGTGCCTTATCCTAAGTGTATTAACCTATCCTATTTCTTTCCCTTTGCTTCGATGTGTTTTACATTTGTTTTAATTTGGTCTGTGAGCCTTTTTGTAACGTATCTCTGGTAGTGTACTTTTCTCATGAATGTTGAAAACCCTGGGGTCACGAGATGGTGCCATTTTAGAGTTCATTAATGCACATGAAAGCAAATCCAGTCACAGTCACTTGAGACTAGGATATAAAACTTAAAAAGTGTTCAGAAAAGACACAGGTGTTATACCAATGACCGGGTCTCTAATAGGAATATGACTTTACAAGAAAGGCAAATTTTAAAAACAAAATTCTGATGACTAGCACCTTTCCCAATAAAAATAAAAACAGTTGAAAGACTAAAGAAATCAATGACCTGCAGAGAAAGCAGATTTTTAAAGGTTATGTATACAAGATGGAAGGAAAGGCATGTAAGCAAGGAAAAAAGTCAAATAGCCT